ATGATGGCGACGACGACGATTATGATGACAAGAGCAATGATGATGATGATGATGATGATGATGAGGATGAGGATGAGGATGAGGATGAGGATGAGGATGAGGATGAGGATGAGGATGAGGATGAGGATGATAATGATGATGATGATGATGATGATGATGATGATGATGATGATGATGATGATGATGACGACGATGATGATGATGATGATGATGATGATGATGATGATGATGATGATGATGATGATGCAAGGGGGAGAAGGGAGGGGGAGGAGGAGAGGAGAGGAAGGAGACGCGGGGCGCTGTCTCTTCAAAACGAGGACCCAGCACCACAGGATGGTTGTGCAAAATGCACTGCGTTTAAAACACTGCGATAAAAAAAGATTACGTCAAAAACACGGCGCAACAAATTGTCTAAACCAAAAAAACACGCCGTACAAAAAAAAACCAAAAAAAAAAAAAAACATTGCGTGGAAAACCGTGCGTAGTCACATTGCGGAAAAAATGCATGACAAGCATTGCGTAAAATACAGTGGATAAGCATATGTACATGTATACATGTTCTTTTTTATGGAACAAAAACCGTAAAACAAGCACACGGCGTAAAAAAAAAAACATTGCGTACAATTCAGCGTAAAGAAGCATTGTGTTGGAGCACCGCGTTCAAAATATTGCGGTACAAAATGCGTAAAAACACAGCGCTAAACAAATTGCGCAGATGAATTCAATTCACGCTTGAGACCGACCTTCGCTACGCAGCGTCGTTGGCGGTCGCCAGCCATGGGTGCTTCTCCTCGATCAGGCGTCGGGGAGCGAAGTGGAACAGGTCTTTGCTGAGGTTGTCGGCGATGTGGGATAGGTTTCGCTTCTGCGACGCTGAGCCTGAGGGCGTTGGGCCGAGTGCGTGGGCTCTGCGGCGCTGTCGTTCTGTGTCAAGGTGCTCGGTTCTCCTTGCGTATGATGGTTGTCCGTGGTATCTCCCGAATCCGGTGGTCCCCCTGGCCGTCTCCGCCGTAGGTCGTAGGCTACAGGCTGCCCAGCGGTGTTGCCAGGTGGGGCGGCCCCCTGGGCCTCGATCAGCTCGTTGAACTTGTCGATGGCCTTCTTGGTGACTCCCCTCTCGAAGAGTAAGAACGCAGATGGAGCCGCCTCTGAAGTAGCGTTGTAGCGCATCCCCAGCTTGATGTGTGTTAGGAGGTCGCGCCGTTCTCGAGCGGCTGCGATTGGCGTCGGTAGGTCCGTGCGGTCGTCAGCGATCGGGTGCGACCATCGCGGCCAAATGGTGGTTGATGAAATGAGCCAGGACGATTCGCTGATGAGTTAGTCGTGCTGCTGGGAGTGCATCGTAGCGCATGTCGTCGTTGAGGGAGGCCGCGACGCAGGTCATCAGGACGTCGCTTGCGCATCTCAGCATGTTGTTGTTGGGGGTCGTTGATGTCTGCGATGGCCTCTGAGTTCAACCTGTAGAAATAGATAGTTAAAAGGTGGGTGTTCTGTTCGTAGTGGATGCTGCTGATGTTGTTGAAGGTCTGCCCCGGAGGATCCTGATCTCATGCCGATGTGTGGTTCTTCGATGGGCGTGGTAGCCTGCTCGTACACTGTGTCCATGTGTGGTATGGTCGATGCCTTGACGGTGGCTTTGGCGCGAGGTGGCCTGTAGGGCACGTGCATAGGTGGTGTGCTGCTGCTGCTCTGTGCTCTTGGCCCGTAGTAGGCGGGTGGCACCTCCTGGCATGGTAGTGTGTTGGGTTTGGACCTGGCTCCCTCCAGCCCCAAGCTCCTGTCGTCTGACAACCCGTACAGCCCTGCCTGAATTGCAGCCGGTTGTGGCAAGGCGTCGTTCTGCAGGGGCGGTGTTGTGGCGGGTACGAATATCATCGGCGGCGCTTTGTAGCGCGACCAATCTCTCGGTGCAGACTTGGCGCTGGGGTCGTACTGTGTCGTCGGTGGAGTTGCTGTCACTGCTTCCGTACTTGGATCGATATCCTAGGATTGGTGGCGCACCCCGTTCTGGCCGGTGGCGAGGAGGCTGTCCAGGTTCGTGGAGCTACTAGCCAAAGCCGTGGTCTGCTGGTCGTGTGGTGTTGGTAGATTGCGGCTGCAGGTGGCTGTGCCGTCTGGCTCTCCGTGATGACCCTCGTTATCCGCTCGGCGCTGAGGACGGGATCGGCTTGGTGACAGGTCATGTGGTGGATGAGGCAAGCGCGTGGAGCGTCAGCCTCGATGTAGGCGAGTTTCTGGTCGTGGTGTTGTATCTCCGTCTTGATGGCGTTCTTGTACTCGTAGTCGCGGCTGTGCTTGACGATGCTGTCATCGAGAACGAATATGTCCACGTAGAAGGATCTTGCTTGCGGTAATGGCGACCTTGCCCTAGGCAGTGCAGGTGGTTGCCGCTGGCTTCTTGCCGCCATAGACGGGTGTCTCATCATGCTGTTGTTGATGTCGTAGAAGAACTCGTCGTTGTTGGCAGAGACTGCGTTTCTTCCATCTGGGTCGCAGCAGGCAGGACGTTGCCAGGGTCGTCTCATTCCTATTCGCGGGCCTCGAGGTTGTCATAGTACACCTGGGCGTTCAAGTGGAATGGGTTCTCGGTTGGGCAGACGACCCATGGCTGAGGCGTTGGCAGTTTGTGCCGATGGTCGAGTGGCATGCCAGTTGGGAGGCTAAGTTGCTTCAGTGCTTGTGACAGCGCGTGCTCGGTCCACATCTGGTAGTCAGCCAGGTAAACTGATGGCGGCGGGAAGTTCGGTGTCAGTGGATCTTGTTGAGGCTGGGGGTGGGCTGGGGTGATGGGTGGGGTTCACGGTCAAGACTCGGTTCTCTTCTTCATCCTCATCCTCCTTCTCCTCCTCCTCCTCCTCATCCTCCCTCCCCTTTCATGTAGATTCATTGTGTTCCTTCTCCTCGTCTCTTCTCATACCTCCTCTGATCTTCTCCTTTCCCCAGCTTCCCCCCTGTACATCCCCCTCCTCTGCAGACCTCTGACGCTAGAAGTTGTTCACGATGTCGGCCCACGGAGCTCTCGATACCAGTCTTGGGACTTGATTTTGCCGCTGGGCGACCTTTGACTTACCCAGTGGCCCGAAGATGGCCCCAGACCCCAGACGCCGAAGTCATGGAGAGACGCCAGCAACGCCTTGAGATTGAGCCCTCCTCCGTCAAAGCCGATCCCCGGACCTATCCTCGGGACGCTCTGGCTTGAATGATTATCGAGGCGCTTCCAGCCGTGGCGAAGAGGGCGCGCACACTGGAAGCCCGGGATGGCGAGGAGCACCGCAGGCCCCCCCCACGTTCCCCCCAAGAGGTCTGCGGAGCTCCCCAGAGTTCGTCTCGCCTGCACGTGGGAGTGACCCTTCGCAGGAGTGACCTTCGGTGCGGGCCCATATAGGGCCCTCCCAGCACTGGCCCTTCGCGCTTGGATCTGAACCAGTCGCGGCCCGCGAGAGCCGCGGAGCAGAGGTCACTCCTGCCCAGGGTAATCCTTGCGTGCACAGTCGAGGCGTTGATCTAAGGAACCCTAAATAAGGAACGAGGCCCCTTTTTTCCATTAGTACGACTTCGATTTTCCATCGAAAACATAAGGAAACCCTGAGGCAAACTGTGAAACAATTAAGGAACACGGAGCCCCTCCACAACGAAAAGGGTTCCTTCTTCAGCGCACCGACTGTAGGCGATCTTCTCTGACGGTCCCCGGAGACCTCCGCAGGCCAGATACGCCACATGACCACAGACCTCGAGGCTCCTGGAGGCCTTCTGGTGTCGGCCGGTGTTCCGATGACTGCGCGTTTCGGATGGTGCGTCCTCTCTTGGACCAGGAGAGGCTGCGTTGCTCACGCGCGAGCGCCGTCCCGCGCTCGAGCAAGGCAGCCAGAGGGCAAGATTACCGGGCGGATTGTCTCACCCTCGGGAGCCTCCGTATCAGTGGCTCCTGGAGGTTATCCACCGTTCGCTGAAAGCGAGCATGTCGGAGACTCCCAGGGTCCAATCTGCTTGAAGCGCCTCCCTGTTTCAAGGATCGATAAGTCTCCCCCTGCCCTTCCTCTTCACGGGGAGGGCGGCAACCAAATCTAGCTTCAACGCCGTCCTACTGCGTTCTTCTGCCCACTCCTTCCACATGACGGACGTGGGCCCCTCCCCAGGGGCAAGGCCAGGGCGGAATATACCGTCAGGGAGGGATGGGGGACGCATCGACACCCAATCGTCCACTCGTCCCCGACTTTTGTGGGCCCTGGAAACGGCAGGGCCGTTTTTTCACCGTTTCCAAAAAAATGTCCCTTGAAAATGGAAACGGCAAAAAAACGGCGACCGGAAACGGCAAAAAAACGGCTCCAGGATTGGAACCGGAGCCGGAACCGGTCAAAAAACGGCGACGGAACCGGTAAAAAAAACGGCGTCGGAACCGGCAAAAAAACGGCAACACGGAACCGGTAAAAAAACGGCCCTGTCGTTTCCAGGGCCCACTAAGCCCCCGACAGGGGCCTGAAAAAGCCCACCCAGGCCCAGGAACGGGCCGGAAGTTCGCCATCGAGGGCCCATCGCCGAGGCGTCGGCGACGCACTGCCGACTCCAGCCCGATGCCTCCACCCCTGGGCCAGTCCCCCCTCCCCCTCCCCCTCCCCCTCCTCCTCCTCCCCTCCTCCTCCTCCTCCTCCTCCTCCTCCTCCTCCTCCTCCTCCTCCTCCTCCTCCTCCTCCTCCTCCTCCTCCTCCTCCTCCTCCTCCTCCTCCTCCCCCCTGATCGGCGGCGAGCCCAGGGGGCAAGTCGGAGGAGGCGGGCCTTCTCAGAAGGCTTGGCATGCCTCCGGCCTGCTCCTATACACTTTTCGAGCCTCCTCCGAGGGCAGCGACGGCCTCTCGGAAGGCCAGAGAGGGCTTCTGAGGAGAGCCCAGCCGCCTCTGCTTTTGAGGCGGCCTACCCGCTCGCCTCCCCCTGGGCTCGCCGCCGACCCGAGCAAGAGTCCCTCCCCCCTGCGGGGCACCAGAGCCCCCAACCCGCCGCACGAGGGGCCGGCCGGAGGCGCGCTGCAGCCGCCGCAGCAGCTCCTGCTGCAGAACGGGCGGGCGCCTTGATCCTCCTCCTCCTCCTCCTCCTCCTCCTCCTCCTCCTCCTCCTCCTCCTCCTCCTCCTCCTCCTCCCCCTCCTCCTCCTCCTCCTCCTCCTCCTCCTCCTCCTCCTCCTCCTCCTCCTCCTCCTCCTCCTCCTCCTCCTCCTCCTGTGAGACCAGCACCGATGATGAAGATGGATGTTTGTTTCGACTCAGTGCAATGGTTCCCCGAACAGTCGCCACATTGGTCGCTGGCCAAGCTCGCCGGGCCTCAAACAGTAATGGTGCTCTGGTCCCATGGGTCTGCCTCGGCCTCTGTCGCCTCAGACGGGACGAGATGAGCCAACACCTACTCTTGGTTTCTTGATAAGTGGGGGGGAACCCCCCGACGGGGGTCAACCTCGCCTCGTCGTCGCGCCGCGACGGGGGTCGGAGCGCCTTTGGCTCGCGGTGGCTGCTCGCAACGGGGGTCGATGTGGGGCTGTCGGCGGGGGTGGCGTCCCCCCCAACGCTTCTTAAGAAACCCGGAGTGCCCCATTCAGATCCCCCCCTTCACCCAGCGCCCCGTGAGACCAGGACGCCGCGAGCCAGGACCCTGCCAGATCCTCAGGGACGAGTCGGTACTGTGCTCGGCGGCGCGCCGAGAGGGGAAGCGCGAGGGGGCAGGCCTTCTCAGGAGGCGGCGGGGCTCCTCAGAGGCCCTCCGGCCTTCTGAGAGGCCCTCTGTGCGCCTTTCTGACAGAGCCGCCCCTTCGGCGTTCCCGCCTGGGCGCGCCGCCGACCACAGCATTCTGCCAAGGTCCAGCTGGAGGATGGGAAGAATGGAGGATGTCCCGGCCCACGGGCTGCAATTGTCCTGGGTGCGCCAGTGTCCTGGTACAGAGCATGCGCCCGGTTGTGGGGCCCTGGTTCGCTGCGGAGGGTCGTGGTCCGCAGTCTGCCACCGTCCGTCTTCCGTCGTCGCCGTCTGCGGTCGTCGTCGTCGTCGTCGTCGCCGCCGTCTGCGGTCGCCGTCTGCGGTCGTCGTCGTTGTCGTCGTTGTCGTCGTCGTCGTCACGTTGAGGATCGAGGCTCACTTATATTATCAAGGTGTGTGGGCGCTTTCGGCCGCTGTGTGAGCACAGGAGCACCGCTGGGAGCGTGCAGGCACCTCGAGGGGACGTTCGGAAGCCTCTGCAGCCTCCCCCCGCCACCTGGCGTGCCGCCCACCCTCTCCCCCGGCCCGCGGGCGGCACGCGCCGCCCCACTGGAAAGAGCCCAGCTGTCGGCGTGCTCGAGGGGCGTCCCCGGGGTCCCTCCCCCAGAGAGCCTCCAGGGACTGCGGCACAGTAGTGCAGGACGAGCCTCCAGGGACTGCGGCGGGGGAGGAGGGCCTCTGGAGGCCGAAGTCGAGAAGGAGGAGCACTGCGGCACAGTAGTGCAGGACGAGCCTCCAGGGACTGCGGCGGGGGAGGAGGGCCTCTGGAGGCCGAAGTCGAGAAGGAGGAGCAGGACGATGACGGCGACGAGGAGGAAGAGGAGGAGGAGGAGGAGGAGGAAGAGGAGGATCAGGAGCACGAGGCGAATGCGTGGAGGAAGGGAGCAGATTGACGAGGAGGAAGAGGAGATCAAAGAAGAAGAGGTGCAGGAGGTGCCGCGAAGTAACGAGGAATAGCAGCACTAACCATGGTAGAGGAGGCGAGGGAGGACAAGGAGAAGGAGGAGGAGGAGGAGAAGGAGGAGAAGGAGGAAGAGGAATAATGATAATAGGAGTATCTCCACGTTGCTTTACGCATCCTGACCCTGCGATGCACGTGCGAAACGCGGGCATGGTTCCAGCGATTAGAAATTCGAAGAAGGAGGAAGAGGAAAAGGAGGAAGGGGAGAGGAGGGAGGGGATAGGAGAAGCGGAAGGCAGGTGGAGGAGGACGAGCGGGAAGGGCAGGGGGAAACCGATGGGAAGCAGAAAAAAGAAAGGGACCTTTCTAACCATCTCTTCCGTTGCCACCCGCATGGGCCGCTGGCTTCTGACCGGCGATGGCAGGCGTCGCGTTGCTTCGGTTCCCGCCCCCCCCCCAATCCTTCCTCTCTTCTCCCTCGCATCCTTCCTGTCCCCCCCTTCTCCTCTTCCGATTCTCCTGAAACTCCATCCCCCTTCCTGCCCTCCTCCTCCTCCCTCCACCTCCCTCCGTCCCTGCCCTCCTCCGTGTCCTCCGCCGGCCCCCGGTTGGCTTTCTTCCCGCCCTGGAGCCTGCCCCCGCCTGCGGAGGCGCCGGGAGGCCGGGGCAGGCCCGACGGGGGCCAGGAACTGCCGAAAGCCTGCCCCCTTCGAACCTCGAGGGCCGACGGCAAAATTTGGTTCCTCCTCCTCGTCGTCCTCCTCCTCCCCATCAGCATCATCATCATCATCATCATCATCAGCAGCAGCAGCAGCATCATCAGCATCATCATTATCACCAACCTCATCCTCATCCTCATCCTCATCCTCATCCTCCTTCCTCATCATCATCATCCATCATCATCAGCATCATCATCATCATCATCATCATCATCATCATCATCATCATCATCATCATCATCATCATCATCCTCATCCGTCTTCTCGTCGTCCTTCTCCCCCTCCTCCCTCCGCCCGTCCCTCCCTTCCTCCTGCCCCCTCCGTCCTCCTCCTCCTCCTCCTCCTCCTCCTCCTCCTCCTCCTCCCTCCTCTCCTCCTCCTCCTCCTCCTCCTCCTCCTCCTCCTCCTCCTCCTCCCCTCCTCCTCCTCCTCCTCCTCCCCTCCTCCTCTCCCCTCCTCCTCCCCCTCCTCCTCCTCCTCCTCTCGTCCTCCTCATCATCATCATCATCAGTATCATCATTGTCATCCCTTCCTCCTCCCGCTTTCCCTCCTCCTCCTCCTCTTCCTTCTCCTCTTTCTTTTCCTGCTCCCCCCGCCACGCCCTTTTTCCTCCACCCATTTCCCTTATAAGCAGCTTCCCCCTGTCGCACCCCCAGACGTGTCGGTGGGGCGTCCTGGCGGTTCGGTTGGGACTTCCCCACCGCTCATGACCCTGAAGCTGGAAAAGTGCAACAGCCTCACGGATGGAGGGCGGGTCGTTTTCAAAATGTGGCTCTCGCCATAGCGACGCGCAGATTCGTATCAGAAGTTTGTAGTTGTTTCACGAATGGAGGACGGGGCGTTTTCTAGGTGTGTCTCTTTCCTTTGCACCCCGCACATTCGGCGTTAAAGTTCGCAGTTGATTCACGGATGGAGGGCGAGCGGTCTTCAAGAGATTGGTCTCGCTGTGGCACCACGATTTAGGAGAGTCAGGACGCAAGGGTCACGTTGATCCGGCGCGATGAAGTCCCAGGAAAGGTGCTATGGCATGATTTAGGATTGTCAGGACGCAACAGTCACGTTGATTCGCGGCGCTGAAGTCGGAGGAATTGCGTTCTGGCGCGATTGAGGTTTATCAAGCGGTGGTATTATCAATGGGGCATACCCCGCAATGAGCATATATTTTTGTAGGGACCTAAACAGGGAAGTTGGAGGAGGGGTTCTTGCAACATCGTTAACTCGCTTTGGGTTTACCCTGGTCTCTCCTCCTACTCCTCGGGATGTCCGGCTTCGTCTAACTCAGCGCCGCGCGCCCGCGCCGAGGTGGCCGCCTGGGATCGCAACAGTACCGAACCCGTCATCGGTTGCCAGGCCCGCTGGCCCGGGAGGGCAGGGGGGGGGGGGTCAAAGACACCATCCATTTGAAGCGCACCCTTGCAGAAGCCCAGGCATGGTTGGGGTTCGTCGCAGGGCCCACAGATTGTCCAGCGCGTCGGCACTTGTACTGTTCCTTTGACTCCTGTTTCTCCTCCTCGTCTTCCTGTCCTTCATCCCTCCTCAGTTTGGCTCAAGATGCAAGATTTTCCGGTGAATCAAGGTAATAGCGTTGTTCCGCGGCCGGTCGCACCTGACCCATGGGATCACGATCCCGTCGGCAGTCTGGCGGTGCCAGCCCCTTCTCGTTCGCTGTCCCAGTATGGCATGCCAACTCCGAACCGACCGGAAAAAGAGAGGAACGGCGGCGAACGGCAACAGGGCGGGCAAAAGCGGCAGGAAAGACGCCTACACGGTGCGTGCTGGCGGCCACTGGACTTAGAATCAGAATCGTTTCCCTGCATGCCGTGACATGTGTGTTGGGTGCGGTTCGCATATCCAGCCTTCTTCGAGAGTTTTTCGTGGAGGCGCAGGTCTTTCGGATAACTGAGGAGGCGGGGCCCGAGCACCTCATCATTCTCAGCGCCAACAGCACCAGGTCGAGTCAGATGCTGTTGCGGCCCTCCATAAGATGGCCAGCCATCTCGAGCTCGAGCTAGCAGCCGAGCTGCTCTCCAAGTTCCAGGTCGAGGTGTTCCCTGCCCCTCCCGAGGCCCTGCATCTGTCCGACGCGGGGGCCGCGAGGGCCGAGGCGGCGACGCGGCAGGTGCCCAAGGCTCTTAACAAAACCCTGGAAAGGTGGCCCGTGCAGAGGAGCATCTGGTTCAGTCCAAGTCGAAGGTGGACCAATCCTTGGCCGAGGAAGCCGAGGCCCAGCGCCAGTGTGAAAAGGCCGGTCGTGAGTTGGCGACCAGGGTGCTGCCGCAGTCCGATCTTTTTCCTGCCAGGTATGCCGTCCTGCCTCGCTGGTGCTCGATGTCGGGGAGACTGTGACATCACAGACGACAAGGCCAGCGGGGCAGACCACAAGTCGTTCGAGGAGGCCGTGGATGCTCACAACAAGGCCGTCACCACTGCGTTGCGGGAGGCTTTCTCTCCGATCAACGAGCAGGCGGTCACGGCCCAGAAGAGGTACCAGGCCCGTCGGCCATGATGGCCAAGAAGCGCAAGGCCGAGGATGGTGCGCAGCCTAGAAGTAATGGTGACGCAGGTGCGGTTGCAGGCTCCTCACAGCCTCGTGCCCAAGCGCCTGCTTGTGGCACTTCCCCTCAGGAGCAAGCCAAGGCCGAGGCCTGACGACGAGGACGAGCTTCAGCGGAAAGAGGCATCTTGCCTCGAGGCAGCCAGGGCCCGTCTGGCCCAGCAGGGAGCCAAGAAGAAGGCTGCAGCTGCGGCCGAGGGCGGCGATGCGCCTCGCGCTAGGCAGCTGGGTTCCTTCGTCTTCTTCGGCGACTCCCTCGAGTCTGCAGCCCTGGCCAGCGCTGAATGACGCCTGCTTCCCTTCTCAGACGGAACCCACGGCGGGCCACGGACGGAGGCAGGCCCAACCGCGGGACCGCCGCGCGGGGCTTGGGGAGGCGGGTCGGCCCGAGAGCGTTGGCCGAGCACCGGTCGGAGATCTCCGCGGGCACCCCCGCGGCCGGGACGCCCCGCCGTGCCGGGCGAGGGGGCGGACGCGCGGAGACGGGGCAGGGCCGTTTCCCCAGCGGTTGGACGGCCTCTTAAGCAAGCGACCGTCGACGCTGGCATTTGCAGCATCGCGGCCCATCGTAATGGGCATCGCGGGCTGCATTCTGGCGCGACGCCAAATCCTCGAATCCCCATCTTCGGGGAACGCCACGGGTTGAAAGTCGCCGCGTCGAGCTGGATCAAATCCTGGAGACGCCCCACCATTGGAGAACACTCCAAGTTCACCGTCGCCACTAGCGGGGTCGAGCGCGCTGCAAGGAGGCCACCCGAGCGAAGTGCACTCGGTCTACCCGCGGAGCAAGGGAAGATTGGCAGGCGGGCAGGCAGTCTTGGCAGACACGCGCATGCAATGGCGAGGTCGTCGGCGCCGAACAGGCTGACGGCGCTGACGCGGCCCCCCCGTCGAGGGCGAGGAGGCCCCTCCCGCCCCGCGCCGCGCCGAAGCCCGGGTCGTCCTTGTCGAGAGCCATGGCGTTGGTCGAGGATTTGACGGCGGGCAAGCTGTCGGGCGGCATGGCGCAGCGGACGCGTGGTGCTCGCGGCGCGCTGATCGCGCGGGCGTGGAGCTTGTCCCGCGGAGGGAACTGGCCCCACCTTCGGAGGGGGGGAGGCTACCCTAGCGGAGATCACTCGGCCGTTCCGCGGAGCCCCGAAAGATGGGCAGTCAGTCGGTCGAGCCAGGCGACTGCATGCAATCGCGGGATCGCCTTTACTGTTGAGCAGGCGAACAACGCCAACGCGAGCCCCCCCGCGGGCGCGAGCGAGCCCGCGGGGAAGCGGCCGCGCCTCTGTCGTTGGTCCGCAGACGCATCGCGAGCTGGCGCCCTCAGGCAGAGCGATGGCTCAAGCAGACAGAAGCCGATCACGCTGTCTTTGTCGAGACTCGCATGAGGGGCCCCAATGCCAGAACATAGCCAAGGAAGTCACGCGCGCGGGCTGGAAGCATGTCGGCGCTGAAGCAGACGTGACTGAGGTGGGCGATTACTCAACTGGAGCCCGAATACCTGCCAATAAAATGGGCCCTCTGCGCCGCATTTGGAGTCGCGGCCCCAGGGCTGGAAGCCCCGCGGCTGCTCGCGCTTGCGCCTGGCGACTCTGCGGCTTAAGCGCGCGACCATGACGCCGGCGGTGCCCGTCTGCCTTGCGTCGGGGCAGCGCATGGGAGGCATCGACCTCAAGGTGCTCAGCGAGCTCGATGAGAGCCAAACTCAACCGCGGAAGCTTTCTTGTGATAGGGCATTGACATAATGATTTGCTTGCCCCGACGGCCTCAGAGCCCCCCAGGCAGCTGGGCCCAGTTGGCGCCGAGGCGCCCCCGTCTGCCACGCGCGCGGGCTGCCGCGGAGCGGCCAGCCGCATCGACGATGCCACGGTCAAAGCTTCGTTCGCGCCAGCTGTTCGGTTCCTCTCGGTGGACCAGTCGGCGCCGCGGGTGATCGGGTTGCCCCGCGCTTCTCGACTACGCCCCTGCATCGCGCGATCCGCGGCTGGAAGGCGGCGTCGTCGAAGGCTTTGGAGAGAGCCGACCGAGAACGAGCAGGCCGCCACGGCCCTCGATCCCAAAATGAAGGGGGGCGCACTTGGACAGGCACCTCTGGTCCGCGAGGAGCGCCCGCACCGTTCCTGTTTGAATTTCGCGGCTGCCAGGGCGGCCGTCGCTCGGCGCGACGCGCCCGAGACAGCGCCGGCCGCGGGCCAGGATCTCAGCGCCCGGGCGCTCGCCCTGGATTTCGCGCAGAGAGAGAAAGAAGACACCCCTGGTTACGAGTAGGAAAGCCATGCGGGTCGCTGCCAGCAGCCCCGGGCCAAGCGGGCCCCAGTCGCCGCGAAGGCCAGCAACGGACCCCCCTTGACCGATCGCCGCACATGCGGTCGGCAGTCTTTGGGGGCGCAGCCCCAGCACTTTGTCAGGTTTTGCGACGCCGATGCCGACCCACAGGTCGCAGCCATCATTCTAGCCAAGCACGCCACATAGTTCTGAAGCATGCTGCGGGGTCTTGGGGGCAGAACAAGATTCGCGCGGCCCTCGACCCTGCTGGCGAGGGTGAGATGGCTGCTCTGTGGGTTTGGGTCGGATGATCAGGCCAGCTTAGTGACATGCCTGCGCAGGCCCTCCGGCAATCCCACAAAGCCCAGTCCAGGGCTTGGTCGGCGGCCGCGAGAGCTGCTGCTGAGTCTGGGGCCCGCTGAAAAACGCGGCTTTCGAAAGCCCCGGCTAGACCTGCTCTTGCGGCGCGCCGGCTTCCTCGGGGCACAAGTGGAGTGGCATCCAGCCACGTCGGCCGGCACTCTGGAAATTCAACCCGAGGATTCGGGCGCCAACTGGAACAAGCATCCCAAAGTTGAGGCCTTGCACACGCCAGCGGCCTGGAGGGGCGCCGCCCGAGCTCAACCCGATTCCGAGCCCATCCTCCCCGAGCATGTTCGGAAGGCCTTCGTGACCATGCCTGACCGGAGAGGTGCGTCGACGGCATACCACCGCGCCAGGTCAAGAAGGCGCCCCCCGAGGCGATCGACGCCTTTGCGGGGCCGCTCTCGGCCATCGAGCGGGGGGCCACTTTGTCGTTTCAGGGGCCCTTTGATCTGATCGCGCTAATTGGCAAAGGGGGCGGAGGGCCCCCCGCCCCATCGCGCCCCTCGACGCCGGTTACGCGCTGCCCTGAAGGACCGAGAAGCCCGTCGTCGGAGAAATAGGCAAGGCCACCCGCGGCCCCTGGGACATGACTGTTGGATGCCAAGCCGAGCACGCTGGCTGGCTGGCTGGGCGAGCCCGAATCCGAATTGGCGCCGCATGGAGGCTTTAGTGTTGCACGGGGGCCTCCCTGACATAAGGCAGTTCTACCATTCGACTGGCCTCTTTGGCCTCGCCCAAGCCTCGGTGGACCTCCAGTGCCCCCTCGGGCTCCTTGTCCTAGCCCTGGACGTGCACCTAGGACCTACGCTTCTGACCTTGCAGTAGACATTCACCACCCTCGGCTGCTGCCTGGGGGCGGCATTTCGGCGGGGCGGGGCCAGGCGGCGCCCTGGGCCAGGGCCCATCTCCACGAACCCCGAGCGGCCACCCACCAGGCTGCCCCAGGGTTGGGTTTCCATGAATGGGTTGGTGATGCTTTTTTTCTTTAAAAAAAATAATAATAACAATAATAATAATACTACTAATAATAATAATATTTTTTTTTGAAAAAAAAAAAAAAAAAAAAAAAAAAAAAAAAAAAAAAAAAAAAAAAAAAAAAAAAAAAAAAAAACGTTTGCCAGGGTCAGAGCGCGCCCTCGACATCGCCTCCCATTGGCCCTCCGAGCCTCGCCCC